GTTAAAGTACCGAATCGATAAGCAGTATCGGTAAGAGTAGTAATACCGTTAAAACCTTAACGATACCCATCCCTAATCGCAATTTAGTTGCTCATCAATTTTGGCTGAGAAATCGCCCCCCAAAAGATAATTTAAAGTCATTATTATCTTAAATGAGAAAAGCATGAAATGGATATTACGAAAAAAGCTATTAAAAACACTTTCTGTTAATTGAAATAAAGCGAAAGTAAAATGTAAGTATTAGATGAAAAACTGAACGAAAGTTTGAAATGTTGCCTTGGCAACTAACTTAATTACTAAAGTTATGATAAAGTTATAACGCTTAAGTACTAAAATTACTAACTGAAATAAAACTAAAACTGAAGTAGAAGTTATAAAATAACAAAAGCTATTTTAATATTAATAATAAAAAATAAGCATATCAAAAAATAAACGCTAATTTAAAATCTTAATCAGAACTATAAAAAGTATATAAATAATACTAAAATAACACTGGATTTTAGCTGTGGAAGCACAATTTTAATACCATTACTGTCAAATGTTGTTTTGAAATATTATTTAAACTTACCATTGAAAAGCACGGATGGCCGCCGAGTGGATCGGCTGAGGGGTGTGCGAAATTGACAAAAAATTATATCCCAATATTTATTCCCATTATATCCCAATATTGCTGAGTGTGTTTTTGTGCTGGTACCTTGGCTGGTTTAGGCCTGTCATGGATAAATAAATATGACACTTAAACTGCCAGTAGGTGCTGCAAGTCCCTGCCTTAATGAGTGATTCATTGATTGATTCATTCAAATGACTATTTCAAAACGGCTGATTCATTTAGAAACGAAGTAAGTGATTTATGAATAGATCATTGAATCATTGACTCAGTTGATTTGTTCAAAAACATATTTATTCAGGAATGAAACACAGCATTGTTGTGCTGAGATGCACAAATGTTCTTCTCCGGCTTTGTTTGGAACTATTTTCACTGGCCAAACTGAAAAAACCCCAGCTAATTTTCTGTCTTAAAGGTTAACTTGTTGTTTGTTGAACAGTTGCATAAAGTTAATATCACATTTGTGATCACACTAATGCACTAATATTTAGGAAAATAGCACTGATGCTTGTATGATATTACTTAAATATATCACTATATCTTACAAATGTACAAAAAAAAAACAACCAAACAAACAGGGATAGATTTTTCTTTCATTACTTTATTTGAATTATAAGAGCGTTCTAACTGCATTCCACTAGGCTTCATCACGCAGTGAATGCTTTTGGACTGTCAAGATGCGTTTTTGTTAGTTTTTGCGAGTTGATTGACATACGTGACGATGTCAGCTCGCATATCGTTAAAACAACAGTTACATTATTATCGCAGACGATAAATATCACAAACCCCTCGATCGGCTTGCCTTAAAAGGGCATGCAACCCATTAGTGCTATGCTAACCTAGTAGGCTAAGCTGTTAGCTTGCTAACCGAAGCCTAACCAAACAACGTACGTAAAGAAAAATGTTTAATGTGATCCTTTTTAACTTCTGTGATATTATGTTATATATAATTTAAAAGACTTTTCATTTATAATTCTGGGATTCTGGGATTTTGTTGGGCTGCAATGTGTAGTTTGGTTTTTTGTCCAAACACTCCAAGCATTGACGCACCTGACATGTGCAGCAGTGGCCCTGCAGTGTAAAATAAAACTGCTTTGGCAATATAAAAGAGGTTTTGAATATCCTTCACTGGTAGGAATTAATTTGTTTGGGTTTATGGAGGCCAAAGTCCATAGAAAGCTTTTGTAATAAGCTGAGAAGGGTTTAATAATGGGAGGTCCTCTGAAGTCTTTATACCAGAAAACAGTTCCCTTCATAAACCTGTCTTGTGAAATGTGTATTTGTAGGATAATGACAGTCAGTGTTTGTGTTTGTCCATGATCTCACACACTTGGTTGTTATCTCACTGAATGTCTGGCACAAATTCCTCTTTTGACGAAGCTTTCATTGATCTATCCAATAAACATCTTTCCTATCAGATGAGACCATTGACGCAAGATCAATATATGCGATAAAGAAAGAAGTAGTTTTGAAAAAGAAATCCCATTAGACTTAGGAATAAAAACATGTTCTATTGCATTTTATGATTATGAATTATTCTAAATGATTATGTAAATGTCGGTTAGTTAAACTGTTGACGTTTAAAGCTAGCTAGCTGAGTAACATCCAGTTTTTTAAGGGATCAGGGTTTGGCTGGTTAGCATAGTCCTTTTAGCTTTTGCTGGTAGATACCATAACTACACCATCTTACTTCAATTTAACATGGTTAAACTGCAGACATCTTTATAGTTAGTTAGCTAACTAAAATACATTTTTAAGCAGTCATGGTTTAGTTAGCATAGCCCTATTAGCCTCTTCTGGTAGATACCGATACTACATCAGCTTACTGCAATTTAACTTGGTTAAACTATCAAATTGCTTATAGCTAACTAAATAACATCCAGCTTTCCAAGGGCTCATGATTAGACTGGTTAGCGTAGCCCATTTAGCCTCTGCTGGTAGATACCATTGTTAACATAGTTTATAGCTAACTAGTTAACTAATTAGCTAAATAACTTCCAGTTTTTCAAGGGGTAATGGTTTTAGCTGGTTAGCATAGCCCTTTTAACCTCTGCTGGTAGATACTATAACTACACTATACCATCTCACTTCAATTTAAGTTAAACTGTCAACGTGTCTAGCCTGCTAGGTAACTACATCCAGTTTTTCAGAAGGTCATAGTTTGGCTGGTTAGCATAGCTTATTTAGCCCCTGGTGGTAAATACCATAACTATACTATCTTCAATTTAAGTTAACTGTCAACATGTGTCTAGCTAGCTAGCTAACGAATATATATAAATATATATATATAATATTATTATTATTATTATTATTATTACAATTATTATATTATTGTTGCTTTTGTTAAAATAGTCACAAGATGGTCACAAGATATAAATATTCCGATTTTTTTCCCCCAGTAGTCAAACAATTATGAACATTTTTGCATTTAGATTAGGGATGTAACGGTATGAACATTTCTTATCACGATTATAGTGACCAACATGATCACGGTTATCAGTATTATCATGGTATTGTTAACATTTGCTGGAGATGTTCAAAAAGTACCGACACATAAATCACTTCACCAAGTTTTATATTTAAAAATCAACAAACAAC